GGGAAAAGGGATTCAGGATCTCAATCACTGGATCAGATGTCACTTTCAGCCAGGGTGAAAAGATCCGATTCACAGCAACTGTAAATGAGAGCAATATTGGCTATATCAATGCTACCACACATTCGTTCTCAAAATCGACCACTATCGTTGCAAACTCAAGCTCTACAAGTACCTGCCGGATGGACAACACACTTTGGCACAGACGTTGCTGTCATCGAAACATGGACACTATACAGCACATGCATACAAAGCAGCTAGTAACTGGAATGAAGCGAGAGTCAGGCCCCCCAACTGATCCCATCTGCATATCATGCCTCGCTGGCAAACAGCATCGCCACAATGTTCCTCGTGGCCCCTCAGAGCGGAAGAAACACCTTCTTGAGCGAGTATACAGTGATATCAAAGGTCCAATGCCTGTCGCAACTCCAGAGGGCTATCGCTACTGGATAACATTCATCTGCAGTGCATCTGACACTTGGGCTGTCGCACCTCTGAAGTATAAAAGTGATGCCTTTAATGCCTTCAAGCAGTTCAAAGCATATGCAGAGAATACCCACCCAGGACTCAAAATCATTGAGTTTCAGGAAGATAAAGGCGGTGAATATATGGGAAAGGAGTTTGTCGACTTCTGTGCTGAGCATAGAATCAAAAGACGACATACTGAACCCGATGAACCATACCAGAATGGCACAGCAGAACGAGCCAACCGCACAATTGCAGAGGCCATCACTGCCATGCTAAATGAGTCACATCTCCCACCATCATTTTGGAACCTCGCTCTCTGAGTATTCATTCATGTCCGAAATCGCATTCCCACAGATCCTCTTCCAAACACCACACCCTTCACAGAATGGGACCCAAATCACCGAAAACCAGATATATCCCACTTTCATGTGTTTGGATGTCTTGCATATGTGCTAGTACGAAAAAAGGGACGTCGAGCATTAGAGTCACACACCCAAAAATGTATCTTTGTTGGATATCCAGAGGGAGTAAAAGGCTGGCTATTCTGGAACCCATCTACACAGCGATTCATCACCTCCAGCCATGCTGTATTCGATGAGCATGTATTTCCTGGAAATCACAAAAATATTATAAATCCTCTTGGTGACGATACATCTCCCACAAACAGACATAACAGCACAGATACTGCTATA